CTCTCTCTCGCTCGTTACAACGGCCTGAATGCATTTCGGGCTCACGATCTCCTCGATTTCCGCGTTTTCGTCTTCGTACAAAGCGCGCAGATGCAGGCAGGCGCGAACCACCCCTGCACGCCAGTGGAACAAGTCGCGCCCCGAGCAGACAGGGCGAGCGTCATGGCGGCGAAGCCAGGATATCGATCGTGGACCAGTGGGATGCTGGCCGCCCAACGCTTCGCCGATCGCGCGCCACCATTCAGCACGCTAAGTGTTTTGTTATCCTGCCTCCTCGGCCTTTTTTACACCGCTTACCTATCTAAAACCACCGCCAAGGTGCATGTGCCAAAGGGTGGGTGCCTACCGCAGAGAGTGCTCGCGAGTGTCCTACCTTTGCGCGCATTTGTAAACAGCGCCGAAAATGCGGACAACGGTGCTCACAGTTTTGCTCAATGTCTTCGGTATCGCTTACGGTAAGCTCGTTCGTTTATGCTACCAGATGAAATGATCCATTGAGCCCATTGGCGGAATGAATAATCGTAATGAATAATGAATAACATATCGAGGACCATCATGTTTGTCCTGTTAATTATGGCAGTGATTATTGAAGTGATTTAACATGAGGCATAATGTGGAGGAAATTAGATCAATCTTTTATGTATCCGTATATTATTATTATGTTGGAGAATTTTTATATATTTTGTTTGGTATTTTAAATAAATTTTGTTAAATTCTTAAAGAAAGAATATTTCTTAGTACGCCCAAATGCAAATTTTAACCAGAACCGGGGAGATGGGATTTTAGAGACGAAATATTAAATTTCAAAATTTTATTTCTTGAAAACATAAAAAAACATTCAATAACGTATAATTCTATTGTGAAAGTGCATTTCTATTGCCATTTTCTTTTTGCTACCTTTTTACTGCTGGATGCTTTTACTCTATACATGTTTTTATTATCTCTTTACACTATGTAAATGTAAAAGTAATGTAAATGTAAATGTAAAAGAATTCTATGATAGAAAGTCTTTTCTATTTACAAATATGTAATTATATTAAAAAAAAGAAAAATGTATGTATATGTGTACGATTAGAACCACTTTTGTTATGTGTTTGCAATCAATACAATTTTTAAATTGAGTGATTTAATTATAAAAAAAATACGATGAGAAATAATCTAAGTCACTTTGCATTTTTTGTTGTCGACCGCAATGAAACACTCTATTTATTTCCGACACGATAACATGAGTTTAAAGTCAACAGCACATGATACTATTTTTCCTACTAGATTTCTTGCAAGAGTCAACAAGGGTGCAGAGTTTTAGATCAGGTAACCTAAGGCTAACTCCTGATTAACTCTCGCAAGAAATCCAGTAGAAAAAACGGTATCGTGTGCCGTTGTCTTCAAATTTCTTATTTCTAAGATTTAGTCTCTTAATTAAAATGACGAACTTTATTTTTTACATAATTATAATATAAATTATTATTTCAATATAAATATTATTGAAAGAAACGAGACAAATTGATATTCTTTTATACAGGAAACAGAATTTTTTTCGAAGCGAATCCTGATACGAAGAGACTCTACGACGATTTACTGTCCAATTATAATAGGTTGATACGTCCTGTTATTAATAATACAGAGACTCTAACAGTTTGGCTGGGATTAAAGCTGTCACAATTAATAGAAATGGTATACAGATTAATATAACACTAGTACTTTGGAACATTATATTTTATAATTGCATAACTTATTTTCTTTATATTATAAATACAAACTTTCATACATGTATAATTACATGTTTTACATAATTAATATTATATTTTATGAATTTTATATATATAATAATATATAATATAATATGTATAACTTTCTATTTGTGTTATATTTGAGGAGTTTGTGAAAGTTAATAACTAACGCTTGCCTTTGCAGAATCTAAAGAACCAAGTGATGACGACCAACGTCTGGGTAGAGCAGGTCGGTTACGTACTAGCTTGTTTCACTTTCGCAGTGGTAACCGAGCGTTGTAGTCAGACATTCAGCACACTGATATCTGTTCGTTTCTTGCAGAAATGGTTTGACTATAAATTACAGTGGGATCCACAGGAGTACGGTGGTATAGATATGTTATACGTGCCTTCTGAGAACATATGGCTTCCGGATATCGTTCTATACAACAAGTAAATTGCAAAGGATTTTTTTTTACGAGATTGAATGAAAATACATAAAATGTCCGTGCTGTAAAGTTTCCAAATAAAAGTAGAAGAACTTATTCGCTATCTAAATTTTATGGAAAGACGAGAAAATAGATATTTATTTGATTTAACGAATGTGATGCTATAAGAAAAGCAATTTTTTTAAATTAATCTTCTTCCTCATTTTGTTGTACAGTGCAGACGGAAATTATGAGGTAACGTTAATGACGAAGGCCACTTTGAAATCCACTGGTGAAGTATCCTGGAGACCGCCCGCCATTTATAAGTCGTCCTGCGAGATCAATGTGGAATATTTTCCGTTCGATGAGCAATCGTGTATTATGAAATTCGGCTCGTGGACTTACAATGGCGCTCAGGTTATTACAATGTATAAATAATGCAGAATATCTTAGTCTCTCAAGATTCTTTGATGAATCCAAGTTAACATTTCTATTAAAATAAAAATATCTAAGCTTCCTCTTAGGTGATAGAATAGAAACTTTAAAATAAACTCTAATAAAATAAACTTCATTAAAGTAAAAACGATAAAATTATATTCTAAATCATATTTTTAAGTGGATTTCACTCCATCAAAATTAAAATTAAACTATTATAGTGAAACGTAAGATTGAAAAAGCTTTTTATTTTATTTTTATATTTAAGTATTACCAAGTGAACAGCGAGCATCAATTACATTGCATTTATTATTGCACTTATATGTTACAATTTCTCACTCAACAATGTAAATATAATATGTGTTATATTACGTTTACATTGTTAAATGACAAATTGTAACATAAATGCAATGTAATTGATGCTCGGTGTTCTCTCACTGGTTACCATATAAATATATGTATAATAAAATATTAGAATAATGCGATAAATGTAAAACACTTTCAAGTTAACAATTTCAATTCGAGATAAAAATCTATTAAAAAGTATATTATGATTCTATCTTATAAATATTTTTCAAAGTAATCTATTTTTTAATCAATTATTTTGATGGTTTATTTCTGTTTAAAAAGTAGATTTGTTAATTTTAATTTTATTTTTGTTTGTGGTTTTTGATTTTATTCTTATGAGGCATATTGTATAATATAATATTACAATAAATAAAAGTCTTAGTCACTATACGTATACATTTTTGTAACTTTAAATTTTGCAACTTTGGTCTTACATTTTTCGAAACCTTGTAAGTTTTTTTACAGGTAGATTTGAAGCACATGAAGCAGGAGCCTGGTAGCAATATTGTTACGATCGGCATAGATCTTACCGATTTTTATCTATCTGTAGAATGGGATATCCTGGAAGTACCAGCAGCGCGCAACGAAGAATATTATCCATGCTGTGAGGAACCTTATTCGGGTAAGATTTAATCAAATTTTAAACTTTGTATAAAGTAAAACGAGACGCTTGCGCATTCGGGCTATTTGCTGTAAGCGAAATAATTAAAAACTATTTTGTCTTGAAGTCAATTTTAAAGTCCGGATAATTGCAGCTAACGTTTAATTTCAGATATTACATTCAATATTACGATGAGAAGAAAAACTCTATTTTATACTGTTAATCTTATCATCCCCTGCGTTGGCATCACGTTTTTGACAGTGCTGGTTTTTTATCTACCCAGTGACTCCGGTGAAAAAGTAGGTACATTAATTAAGAAGCCATTAAAGCTTCTATATACATATTTTATTATAGGAAATTTTCTTGCATTCTCAATCGCACTATTTGTTAATGCATTTTGGTCCATCACAAATACGGAAACGTTATCTCAATAAAATAGTCATAAATTTGACAGAATAGAAGAGACCTATCCAATTATATGTAGAAAGGAGAGAGTGCCAATGTGAGCCACAAAATGAACGGAACTCGGTTCTCACAATATAGAAACAAAATTTCTCTTTAATAGCATAAACGTCGACCCTTCTTCGGGTCTTACTCAGTAAAACTCGTTCAGATCGTATAAAGCATATCTTAGGGGATCGGAGCACTATGTGACTTCAAAATCATTCCTCTATCCGTTACAATGGCGTTAAAACAACTAATACGACTAAACGACTAATACGTCGTTTTAACACCATTGTAACGGATTCATCCCTCTGTCTTGAGTTATTCAGTCCTCTTTATGTCTGGGACCATTTGGAGATTCATTGATATTAACGCGAATAGAGGAATGATTCTGAAGTTTCACATAGTGCTCTGACCCCCTAAGATATACTTTATACGATCTAAACGAGTTTTACTGAGTAAGACCCGAAGAAGGGTCGAAACGTTTATGCTATTAAAGAGAAATTTTGTTTCTATATTGTCAGAACCGAGTTCCGTTCATTTTGTGGCTCACATTGGCACTCTCTCCTTTCTACATATTTTCTTTTTGGGAGCCTTCACAACACTTTGGAATATTATCCAATTATATTATAATCATGTAGTGCACTACAAAATACATTTGTAATTACTCCGTGTTTTTTTTTTGTGCAGGTATCATTGTGCTCTTCCATTCTTCTCTCGTTGACGGTGTTCTTCTTGCTCTTAGCCGAGATCATTCCGCCAACGTCATTAGCTATACCTTTGCTTGGAAAATATCTATTGTTCACCATGATTTTGGTTACTCTGTCCATTTGGATCACCGTCTGCGTCTTAAACGTACATTTCCGGTAGGTCGTAGTGTATTTTCCATATTTTACAAATATTAATCGATTTATACTTTTTCCTTACAAATACGAATCTATGCATAATCTGACTTGAAAATAAATGCGTCGCACAAGTATTTCAAGTGAAAAATATGTATTGATAAATGTGATTTTAGAAAATAATAAATAAGATGTATTTAATTTATTAAATTTTAATATCTTAGTGTGGACGTTTTATTACAGATCAAAAATGAATGATTTTCTCGTAATTTTCTAATCCGAATTTACATCTTAATGATTTTGTTGACGTTTGTGGAAGAAATTACAGTTGCACGAGTTAATTGAAATATAGAGGAAAATCCCCTATTATTAGACAAGTTCCTATGAGACAGCGGGATTTCTATTAAATTAACAAGCATCATCGGTTGGTTCCACCATGAATTTATTGCTTTTGAAGTGAAATTTGTTTAGTGGAAAATTCATTGCTAGATCGTGTAATGCAAGAAATGATTTGTGATTGAATTTGTACATTGAAAATATATCTCACATTAGAAGCCTATCTCATAATAGGGGACTTTCCTCTATTATATTAGCCTTTAGCGAATAAAGTAAAATAATATCGAATTCTTGTCGTAGAAATCCTGCCACGCATAATATGTCGCCATGGGTAAAGCAAGTGTTTCTAAATTGGATGCCGAGAGTGTTAATGATGCGTCGCACGCCGTATTCTACGCCAGAATACGATGACGCTTATATGGATAATGCATATACTAATGAAATAGATTACAGGTAATGCCAATTTCTTTGTTAAAGCTTAATTGTTACAATTATTTAATCCTTTAACATCTGAAATGTTTTACGACAGTGTAAGTGACTATCCTTTGGAACTGAAAGGAAGCCCAGACGCGTTCGAAAGCGTGACGTCGACATATAAAAGTATTAGAGATGACGAGGCCCGACACGTACCGCATGCGTCAGGTAATACTTTTGGCATTTGCCAAGAAATGATTTCTATTCTTTAATTCTGGGTTGTATTCTTTCGTAGTGTTCGTGCTGACGATATTCAATGGATAATTCATTGAAATAAGAAATTCTATTTATTTATGAAAATTCAGCCCCGACAACATGCGTGTCTAAAAGATTTATTTAAAACGTTTTCTAGATATATGTGTCTAAAAGACATCTTAAATGTCTTTGGCAAGACGTCTTGTAAACACGCATGCTGCTGAGACGCAACTTATTTATTGTACATAATCATACATTACTGCAATACATTCGTATAAAACAATATACATATATGTATATCAGCACTATATAATAATCTGCATTAGTAATGATAATTGAGCCTAAATCCGTTGAGTATATGCTGTTAAAATATATTAATAAAATTAAGATTATTTTTATAAAATATACAGTATATTGACCAAGTCATCATTTCAGTTACTGACAGCGAAAATACGATGCCAAAACATTTATCCCCAGATGTCATATCAGCTCTCAAAGGTGTGCGTTTCATTGCTCAACACATAAAAGATAATGATAAAAATAATGAGGTAAGTAACTCGCCTTCCTTAACATCCGTTTTTATATTTCCCTCCGCATTTTCTGTTAATAACCATCTGTATCGAGTATCTTAACAATATTTAATTCGATCACTTATGTCAGAAATATTCGTCCCTTGTCATAGGTCATAGAAGATTGGAAATTCGTAGCTATGGTCTTGGACAGATTCTTTCTTTGGATATTTACAATCGCGTGTATCGGTGGCACGCTAGGCATAATAGGTCAAGCACCTAGTCTGTACGACACGCGAATACCTGTGGACCAACGACTGTCTGGTATATCATTGCGCAATTATATGTTGCCGCCACCGCCGAACGGAACTTTCGAAGAACGAACTTTCGACGAATAACTACCATGGCACATATAAAGTAATTCGCGTGTAAAGAGCAAATGGCAAGTTATGCTGTTCGTATTCCATTAAATACCTCCCCTCTACATTTCTGCCCCTCCCCCCCTCCCCCCATCAAAGAATTCATCTACATTCAATTTCTTAAAACATTAGAGTTTACTGAGTAAACAGTGGTTGTTGATTAATATATTATCAGACATTAGGGTATTCACTCGATTAGCACAAAACGAAAATTATCTAATAATAACAATTGAAACATACAAGAACTTTCCAATGCAATCACTCAATAATCATGTATTCTTTTTTATTTGAAATCTTGAATATCATACAAAAATTATTAGATCACACAGTTTACGTATTATAATTAGATCTGTTCTTTGTACCTGCATTATGTTACATTTTCTGCACTCAAAATAATATATATATAATTACATGTTGAAAAATCTATAAAAGACAAAAATATAGAAAGTTCGGCGACAAGGAACAGATCTATTTATTGAAGTACTCCCTTAGTGGTATTTTGTATTATAACATTAAAATCGTGCGAATGTTTCTCTGCATTATACACCACATAGTATCAATTTTTTGGACATTAAATTTATAAAATATTACCTAAGTAGTCATAAATTTTGATCAGTCATATATAATTTACATCTCTTAATATAAAGATTAAATTAATTACATTTGTTTACTCATATAGAACAATAATTTTCGATGTTTTCTACTATTTATGTAATTTATGTTTTCGTAATACGCAAGAAACACATTTATCTTGACATCTAATGTGAGGGAAAATTCACGATTTTTTCGCTTCTGATGCCAGAATTCAATATAACTGCAATACGAGACCAAGTAATTTTAATCCTTACTAAAATAAGCATTGTTAAACGCATCTTCCATATGCTAAATTTATGTAACAAACGTAGCAAAAATGAAATGAAAATAAAATATTTGGTAGTTTGTACACGCAAAATCTTATGTTGAGGTTAATGAAAAGTTTATGCTACAAGAAACCAAGGTAATTTTATTTTCGTTTACATTCAATATTATATCATATTACAGGATCAAAATAAAAAATCTATTAAAATGCTCGCTTATCGGAATCTCACAGACTCAACGTTGGCACTACATCGTTTGCCAAATGAGATTAAATGAAATATGTAAATTGTATTTATATATGGGAATGCAGCGTTATTAAAGTTACAACAAATGAAAGTCTTGATTTATTTAGAACTCCTTGGTAAAGGAACTAATTAATATTACACAATATGCAGAACTGCCGATTAAGTTTATGGAGAGAGGGAAAAAAATTATAGAAAGTTCTTTATAAAAGAAGTATAGTTAATATAAAACAATTTTTTATTCTAAATCGATTATCATCAATTCTGGCGATTCGCTTGTACTACTAATGGAACTGGTCTGCGATTTCTTTGGCGATGAAATGCTACTAGATGGTTTCTTTGTACTTTGAGTCGGCACGTTATCTTCATCATCATCATCACTATCCGATATCAAGTCGATAATAACAGCACGTTTTTTCTCCTTTGGTGCTGGAGCAAGACTGCTTTCATCTGAGCAAGTAAATAAAAAATATTGTATTATCCATATAGGACAAAGTATTCGATTCACGAAACTATAAACTTTTAGAAAACAAAACGATTAGGCCGGTATTCATAATCAGATCTTATAATATATTCAAGACCGTCTTGAATTTATCTAAAGATGTTGTATGGAACATTTTATTGACTACGGAGTATCTAAAGATGACCTCAAGACGATCTTGAATATAAGATTTGACTACGAATACTGTTCTAAGAATCTAGAGAATGTAATATCACTTGGATCAATTTAAAAAATTTTATATTTTATATTTTCATTCTTTTCTTTCATGTATACCTTATAAAATTAATTTTTCCACATTAATAATCCCTAATTCAGTGTTATGTCATATGTCTTGAATTAAATTCATATAAATTTAAAATTTTCTAGAGTACTGCAAAATATTTACCGAGTCTTTTAAGCTTTTGTAATATTCTAGCACGTATTTTCCCCTCACCTAAATCCACTGTGTCCACGTCAATTTTACTATTATCCCGTGCTTCAGTCGAAGTTTTTGCTTCGCTCTTTTCCTTATCTTTATCTTTTTCCTTTTTCAGGACTAAATTTTCCCACGAGCCGTCTTGCAATAACTGAATTTCATTCACATCTGGCAAGAGCTTGTTTGAATTAAGAACTTCTTGAAAGTATCCATCGATTACGAGATTATCGTAGAGCGCCGACTTGTCACAGACCGGACAGTTCCAAGTAGGTTTCCGCTCATTCATTTGAAGAAACAAAGACGCGTCGAAACACTGCAAATGAGAGCACGTCGACGCGCGACATGGCGTACTCATCCTCATCTTTCCTAGAGGACACGCTAACGATACCCTTAATGACGTAGTAGCTATCTCACTATCCGCATCTTCGTTCAATTTCTCCTTAACTGTAAATTCATTAATATTTCTATAGTGCAAATTCTTTTGCCGCTACTCCACTACCGTTTACGACGAAAATTTACTTACTTAATCCTCTCGTGTAGTCCGAGTGTCTTACACCTCTATTTTTTAGTCTACCGAGTAATTCCGCGCTGGACAACTTTCTGACGAGATATATTGCGATTGCGTATCGCCTACCATAATCCGCAGACCATGTAACATGAATCTCGTTCCCAACAGTAGGTGACAATTTTACTAAAGGACTGATATTGATAGGCCGTGGTGGTCTCTTCGGCTCTTGACTGGGTTTATTAGTAGGTATAGGGTTCTGAAATAATACTTATTCTATCCCACAATTCCTGACCTTCGTTATTTACTACAAAGATTCACGAGATCATTTACGTATCATATGTGTAAACAAAAAAATCTTTTGTATATTTGTAGAGCAGAGAGGTTTTATTTATATCTGAGCAATTCACGTTATTATTTCAATTCAAGTAAAACTTATACATGCAATATTGAAAAAGAAATCTACGGAGGGTCATAAATACTTCAATCTCATAAAGGACCAACAAAGGTACAAAAACTTTTCATCATTGTAAGCACCTAGGTATCTTGTTAAGGCCTGCGATAGAACTTGGTCCAAGTTCTAGTTCAGTAAAATGTGTAGCCAATCAACTTGCAGCTTTTACGGAATAGCTATACATTGATTGGCTATACATTTCTGGGAACTAGAACTTGGACAAAGTTCTGGCATCGTAAACGCAGGCCTTTTGAAAGATAAAGATATCGCGTTATGTTAAGGCCACGCAATGGGCTTGTGAAATCAGACATTTGGCGACAGGTAACGCGCCTGGTAGCGAGCATGATATAAGAAACGGAGTTTGGAGTTGGCAAAAAAAAAAAACAAACATTGGACAAAGTAAACGCGGTTCGTCATAGTGAAGGAATGTGTACGTGCGATATAAAACTGAATTATATTGTATGAGGTGATCTCGACAGACTCATAGTGCGTGCGAAATTCTTCTATGGTTCTCTAACTGAATAATCTGTTATTGATTTAAAAATTATCTACCAACGTCTCGGTTTAATCTTGATATTTTCCATCGCTATTCCTAAATTCCTTATGTCAGTGTGCGATGGTCATTCTTGAACGCACGAACTTTAGATTACTTGATTCTACTGCAAATGCTTCCCACTTGAAAAGTATTACATTACCTTTCGTCTTACTTTTTGTTTGGTACGATTAAAATTATGACCGCGAATTGCAGGGTAATCTGTACATCAGGTTTAACTTACTGGCAAGGGACACAATTTCCCATTAACTTTCACTACAATGCTCGGAGGGAAGAAATCTTCTTGCTCGCATGACGTTTCTTGTAAACAGAATCGCATTTGTACCTGTAATGAAAAGTGGTTGTAATGATTTGTACATGAAATTCATGCACTAGTAACCTTACGAGATATACATACACGTTTCTTTAAATGTTCTACCATAAAGATTGAAAATTGACATTTCATGAGATTTCAACACACCTGTACAACATAGTCCATTTTACTGCCAACTCGACAATCACGGGAGCTGGCGATGTCTGTCGCCTGCTGTGGTGTCAAATGAAATAAGAATGTGTTCTGCTGCATTCTTATCGTTCCCTGTGGCATTAAGCTAGAAGGCTTCAATAATTCACCTAATAAATCGAAAAACGGTAGCTTCTTCAGCCTAACGTCTGGATGAACTGGATACTGGCTCGTAGGTTGTATTATCGGATTTGACAAAACTTTGGGCGGGTATACAGGCTGCTGATAGGGATTATATCCCGCATTTGCGGTACGCTGAAAAAGAAGACGTTTAAAATAACACGTTATACTAGAAATATTTTAAATCTTCCATTACACATCTAATACAGCCGTACAACAACATTTTTAAGCGTGGTGATTGGCTGTAGAATAGAAATGTTGTCGAGCCTTTAGAAATTTTCTATCCTGCAGCCAGTCAACGCTTGAGAAATTTGTCACACAACAAATGTAATATCAGCCTTACATGTATAAAGGAATATTCATCTCTGATTAAATTTTATTAAAGCACACTGTCGCTCACCTGCGGTGCCACACTAGTGTATCCAGTTGATGGGTATACAGGATTAGTCCTAGGTGCCTGAGGTAAAGATGCTTGATGCGCTGGCGTCAATTCCTTGCCAACGGAAACTGATGCCTGTTGTTGTTGCTGCTGGCTAATCGCTTGCCTTCAAACATACCGCATTTTATTATAGGCCTGTGTCGACGATTCTAGACCAAGGTCCAAGTTCTAGTTTCGAGAAACGTGTAGGCAATCAACTCGCAGCTATTCCATAAAGGCTGCAAGTTGATTGGCCACACATTTCTCGGAACTGGAACTTTGATCTAGTTCCAGCATCGTGGACACAGACCTTTGGACACATTCTCACATATCCTAAACAAAAGCTGACGAGCAGAGAAAAATAACGCAAATACCTGGTTGAATAGTAATTTCTGTTATGCATGTTTTGATCAATTTGCGGCTCGGAGGTGCTACCAGTTTGCCCATACATTTGGTGCGTTGCAATTTGATCGGCCCTGAAAAAGACGCTCATTCACACTTGAGGCAAGAAAAGTTTATCTTATTAGAGCGCGCTCTCTCCCCGGCCACTGATTCTCACTTATCTCACTGCCAATTTCGGAAACTTTGGAGTAAACACAATTTGCACGCGCAACATACGAAACACTGCGTACCCCGCAGATACTTCTACGGGGCTCTCCTGCTTTTTACACTTACTGTATAGTCTTGTACAATTCACGTATTTTGAGCCGGATAGCTGGGTGCGATCTCAAGCGCATCAATTCCAATGCGCGCGCTTGCAACTCGTTCTTTCTGCCGGACTTATTTCTACCGGCGAAACCAAGAAGCATCTGAAGCTCAGACACTCGAAAACTTAATACCATATTCTGCAATCAGAACATTCCACACTTCCCCTTATTATCCTCCCTGGCACAATGTTGAGTGAGCGTAACGAATTGCATCGTTACGTGTCGTAAACGCACTACTACAAGCGTGAACGTGTATTTTTCCTCAACGAAAAATCGGTACAGTGTGTGTACGTAATAATTTTGTTCCAACACTCTAAAGGGCCCAATCACAAAGGAGTACCACACTGTAACGTGTCGGAGTTACTTCCGTGTTTACAAAAGGGCGATCACTAAGCGTCACGATAAACAGAGCGAGATGCCACGGTGGCACACGGGCGTCCCTACGCGTGACTCGGAGTGATCGACTCGGTTGCACGTCGGCGCGTATACGCCGCGGAGTAAACGTGTTGAAGCGTCAGATAAGAGGTTACCTCCGCGCGTGAGCACGCCGTGGGCCGCCGGAGCCGCGGGTCTCCCGGGCGATCTAACGGCGACGTCCGCTTTCCAGCGCGGGGCGCAGATCCACGCAGATCCGCGGTCACGGAGGCACCGCGTGAGCACCGCGTGCAACGCCAAAGGAACTGCCGCCAGCCGTGCGACGACACGAGGAATGCGCGCACGTCCGAGAGACAGGGTCGCGCGGACCGGCACACGTCGAGGATTGCAGCACAATATAAAGGAACTAGGGATCCAAAGGGATTGACACGCCCGGAAGTAGCTTCCGAGACGCGGGACGGAGCTCTTTCCGTATCCGACGCGGGCTCGTCCGCCGGAGACTCGATCGCCGCGCGTCACCCCCGGAAATCGACGCGCCGGACGCCGAGCGACGCGACGCGATTCCCCGCGACGGGAGAGCAGAGTCTTTTCGCCGAGCCGCTCCTACCGCTCGTGCACTCGCTCCGTTTGTAACGCGCACCCACTCACCTCCAGCTCCTCGGTATCCGCCATCTTCTTGGCCGACTTTTTGCCCGCAGCCGTTTTGCCGACGATTATTTCGAAATTTGCAAGTACGGAAAAACGTGCGACCACCGCCGCCACCGCCGCCGCCGCCGCCGCCGTGTCGCGCTGTCACGCCCGCCGGCACCTCCTCACGCTTGCCGCTCACCTTGTCGCGCGCACTTGCTTTCTCTCGCACTCTCTCTGTCTTCCTCCCTCTTTTCGCGTGGCTCTCTTTCAGGTCGCACAGTAATGTTTGCCCGTCAACGAAAATATCGCGACAACGCGAGCGTCCCGCGTAACCCGGACCACTCCGTTGAATGGTGGATTCTGTTTAAAGATTAAAAAATAAAAAAGAGGAAAGGAAGAAAGCGAGAGACGTTCAAAACGATCAGCGCGCGCAATGCGCGAGTATTGACATTTGACGATCTGCCGTTCGAAAAGCGAATCTTGCAAAATGGCGTCGACATTGACCACATCACATATTTATAAGCTTGCGTTCACCGGTTCTTTCCAATGTTGTAAAATTCGTGAATTTGATTGGCGTACGCTTTAATCTTGGCTGAATTTAAGAGCACGTGCCAATCAGACTCGCGAATTTTACAACAGTAACAAGTGCGGAGTGCAAGTCACGTATATAATAATTGTTCTATGCAATGAGAATCAATGAAAAAGATGTAATATTCAATTTTTCTTTTCTCCTTGTGAATCTAGGTGCATAGAAAAAGTACTTTCGATGTCATTCGGGCGGCTTCTGCGACGTGGCTCAAAATGATTGGTGCGCCACAGCGCCACATTTGTCCACAATTGGACAAATCGAATTCTTCGCTCTGATTGGTTCTCTCTCCAGTGCCGTATCAACTATACACAGGTATATAGTGATAAAGGAATTTTCTAAATGCTTAAGTTTAAAACTGTTCTTACAGAGATAAAAATATACATATATTGTATTTTTTATTGTATTATATTTGTCGCGCGACAAATGTAATATTAGTCTTATGGCTCCAGCCCACTGGACGCGGTAACGTTGCCACGCGGCGGAACTTAGCTAGGGAAACCAGCACTAGCCAATCAACATTTCGTGCGCTCGGTTGTGGATTGGCTAGTGCTGGTTTCCCTAAGCCGAGTTCCACCTCGCGGCAACGTTACCGCGTCCAGTGGGCAGGAGCCATATGGCCGTGTTCCGATATTCACTGCCAGTACTGAAAATGTATAGTATACGTGACATAAACTATAAGTAGATTTGCAGTACTGGCAGTGAATATTGGAACACAGCCTATATAGTCTAATGCGTGGTCTACAATGCAAGTCGCAGAGTCGTAGTCGTAAGAATAATCGACTGGGATTGGTCAATTCCGTCAGATACAGAAGAATTGACCAATCGCAGTCGACTATTCTTACGACTACGACTTTACGACTTCTATGTAGACGAGGCTTAAAGCCTATCACACAATGTCAGGCAACAGGCAATAGGAATAGGGAATAGAATTTTTGACGCGTTGGATTTGTCGGAAATTTTCTTCCAACCAATCCACCGTGTCCAGAAATTCTATTCCCTGTTCCTATTAGGTTTAGTTTTCTGTTCCTGCACTGGTGAACTAGCGCATTAAATTGGAGTAAAGGCTAATGTTCACGATGCTAGAACTTGGTCC